CGGAGTTCAGAATTTGAAGAGAAAAAACATGAACTAGGACCTCCGAAAACTGGAAGAACAGGACATGATTTAGAGATCTAATAGCCTGTGGTCCTACCTCTTGTGTAAGTACCGAAAAAAAAATCTAAAATCTTGGAGATTATGTGTTGATTATTTCGACTGAATGCATTAACTATTAAGGATGCAAACTTGACCGAGTGGCAGATTTTCTTGATTATCTGGCTCCATAGATATAGATATAGACCAAATAGTTAAATTGCGCGTTGGATACAGCAACTTGGACCATACGTGTTCCAGATCGAACACCGGACAGGAAAACGACATGGAAGTGCTGATACATTATCTCGAGTAAATAAGTAGTAAACTACAAATAATGTAAACTCGGAAAAAAAACAACGGCAATCAGAGGTTCTTTTTCTATGTAAGAAAGAACTAAGGAATTATTCTACAGATAATGACCATGAAAGTGTGTTAAAACTTAACCTGTTACTGTAAATGTATTATATTGGCGTGTACGATATTTAGCGGATAATGATTTTTAAACAAGTTAGCGTAGATTTTATTTAGCATATTTCTTGATGTTCTTATTCGATGTTTATCAATGTTTAAGACATTTAGCGATATACTTGAATTAGCGGGAGTATCTTTCCGCCAAAAGCGATAACAAGAATACACCACCAAATGTAATATGTTTACAGTATTTGATGAGGAAAAAACGATGTTCATTTAAATACTTCGTAATGTTCTGATGATACGCTTTCTCTAAACACAAAATCTAACAGAACTGCAGAGCAAAAGCACGTACGCAGCCCATGATGATATATACGTAAGAATCGGGGTAAACACAGGTGAATGCAAGTAATAATCAATTCAATGGCAGGAAAATAATTTTTAAAAACTCCAGTATCAGTGATACCTGGAGAAAATTCGGAGTAAATTCTGGTAATCAAGATGGGACTTATTGTGCATTATCTGTGGTGTGATGTGTATTCGTAGACAAAAATGAGGAAATAAAATATGCTAACTACGAATTCGAAACATCTGTCATGTGCTGTGGTATGACATATAGGAGTACAAAAAGCATTATAACGAGAATACTAGTAAGAAATCCACATTATTGTTTCTTATAATACGTCAGTATAATCAGGACTTTGTATCAGCTTATAATATTTGTTAGGTGAGGAAAAGAGATATCACACATGAACAATTTCCTGAGCTAAGAAAAAAACATGTAAGGAGGCTCATTACACCACTTTCTGATGACTTACTACACAAAAAACAAATCTCTAGTGTTTCGGCTGTTTTCTCTAGGGACGAATTGTACAGGTACCTTTATAATATGACCTTAACATTAAAATCGCTTTAAATATAGTCGAAACATGCAATGATGTAAACAGTAATTCAAACAAAGTAACGGATTTATTATGCTTATTCTTAAAACATTCTTCATTCCATTTGTCACATACAATTCAATAAAATACATTCCTTGTCCCTTCAGAACTCATTCTATAAATATTTTATGCACAGATTAAAAAGAAAATGACATTAATTGTTTTTTTTAGGAGAAAACTTTTTTTTTTCTAATAAAATTAATATTAGGTATTATGAGGTATTTTCATTGTGTGTACTTATTTAAAGAAGAGCAATTGACACTGAAAGTTTTGAATTTTGGTAATAATAAATTTGAAATAAAACACTAAAATTAGAAAAAAAAAGATTTAAAAATTCACTAAAAAATGTTTATGATATCAATACCTCCATTTGGATATTTGACATCTACATTAAAAATGATGCTGTAATGAAATTTAAAATAATTTCTGGATTTAATGAGCCACCTTAAAAGAATTGCAGTTCACACTGCAGGACCATTTCCGAAATCAGAGCACGAATATGTAATGTTTTAGTACATTTGTTGAGAACATCACAGTTTTGCAGTCTGACGTAATGGTGGACATAATAGATCACACAATTAAAGACATGCAGTAAAACTATGAGGGCAGTTCAAAAATCAAGCGGACTTGTCGCACAGAAAAAATTTTTGACGGCAAAATTGTCACACATAAAATAAAAGAATCTTTACTTATATGGTCTTCAAAATTTCATATCTAAATGTTGTAAACTAATATCTGGGGGATTTATCAGGACATATCATTAAGTCATGGAGCGGCAAAATCTTCGACGTCACAGGCATTATAAAAATATTTGATTTAACTTTCATTTTCTCAACATTTTCCCAAGAGTTCCTGTACAGTTTGGGTTACCTTCTATACTCAACATCCATGCACCATTTCTTGCTAAGCTTAAAATCTATTAAACAGGTAAATCATTTTTTTTGAAACCAAAATCTGCAGGTATTTATGAGATATAGTAAGACATTGGTGACTTTCAATCACGTTCTTTACGGTTCGGATAAAGTTTTCGTCGATAATCTTCCCGTCCTCCCGTATAACTTTTTACAGAGGTCTAACGTTCTAAAAATCCGATCTGCTATTTGTAGACAAATGTCACAAATACCCTAATTTACTACATGTTTTATTATGCATATTTTGCATCTATGTTGGCGATATCTTGAGCATTACACATAATTTAACAAATGTGGTGCTCCGTCAATTCAAGAGATGTCATTTTCACAGTCGTTTTCTCTGGAATCACTTTGGAGAAAAAGTTAGTACCTCAAATATCACGTCAGAAATCTAAATACATAATAATTGAACAATATAAAGATGCATTCGTGACCTTTGTCAAAAAATATCACGAATTATAGAAAATTAACGAGTTTAATTTTTTAAAATTAACTAGTTAATTTTTGTTGCATGCTTTTGTTTCAAATCTTTTGTCCTTCTCCGTACTTCTCCATCAGCGATATCATCATACCGATAATTATAGAAGAATTTTTAAAATACAGAAGATTTGCCAAAAAATTATTGGAATCATTAAAATACATATCTCTGTGAAAATTTATAATTACGTTACGTCTGTAAGAGTAAATACTAGCAGAGTCCGCGTAATTTTTTAACGACCCTCGTATATGAGTGCAAATCAGACAGACTGGGGCAATCTTGCGTATAATGCTATATCACATGAGACGACAGATATTTCACCGTACAGATTAGTGTTTGGAAGAGTTGGTATAATAAGTTGCATATTGTTTGACGTCCTTCACGAGTATTATCACCCATATACTGACGCCACCACCGCGAGCTGCAAATTTTGTCCCAGAAGTTAAATTGCTGAGAGATGTTATAATTGGAGACGGAAGTTATCTGCATGTTAGATAAAGCTGAACAAAGCAGTGTATGTTCGTTTGTTTTAAATGTTTGAAATTCACAAAAGAAATTTCAAAGAAATATTCATAAACCAAATATCATATTTCGATGAAACTGTGTTTAAAATTAATTACGCAAATGGCGATCTATTGAGAGGAAATCAAACGGAAGTAATAAAATGAACTATTTTGAAATTAGCCAGAAAATGGAGAAACCAGTGGACGATAGAAAAACTGGTGAGAGATTTATTTATCAAGTAATACATTCAAAACATTTAAATGCATGCCGACAACCTTAATTAAATATCAGAAAGGGGACAAACTACTACAGCTAACTCCCTTTCAAATCCGAATACATAAGTGGAGATACCCAAGATATTCACCATCTACGTTTTCACTTCAAAGGGCGTAGGAACAGTTGATATCCTTTTTTATCGACTTTTATCGAATTGTTTAAGTTGCAGCTAAAAGTGGAAAACTAATTAAGAAATAAACAAAAATGTTAAAAAGTTCTCTGGAAAATGAAGGTTTAGTTGGTCACGTGATCAAATCCTGTGAAGCCCGAAGGGCTTCTCAGTAGATTTGATCACGAACCAACTAAAAGTTCATTACCTAGTGAACTTTTTAACATTGTTGTTTTTAGCTTATATTTACATTTGAGACAAATAAAACTGTGTTTGTTACACTAACGGGCCGCTGCATTGCTATATTGTGACGCGCAATGACCTAGGGGGCTTAGAACTTGTCTAGTTTAAAAGTTCGTTTTGCTTCAACATTTGGACATTTACAATGATGTTCAGCAGTCCATTTCAAGAATTCTGTGTTTATAATGTAAGAACAATGATCCCCACCGAGAATAATCTTACTATGTTATGATTTTTTAATATATTTGAAGTCAAAAGCGTTGATAACCCTTGTTTTATTTAACATAACTTCAAAGAAATTTAGGGTTGAAAAGGTAAGTCATTTTTCGGCTTTATTTATTATTATAGTCTTTAAAACATTCTTCACACCAAAGGAAGATCTATTGAACATCTGTTGAATAAAAATATCTATATGTGTCAGATATTTTACCTTTATCATCGCTTTTAACTTAGTAGTTCCGAAAACAGACAGAAATATATGTAAACAAGATATCAACTCGCCGATCGATTCGATCGTGCTATGACCTCTGACCCCCAAATAAAGTTCATATAGAATTGAACATGTTTTCTCTTCAATAGGTTCATCTAAGAGAGATATAAACAAATGTAAATATTTTCTAAGAAACAAGTTTATGCCCTTGCGATAACTTTTTCCCGTAGATTTCTGACGTGAAAAAAAAATACAAACATGAAAGTTTCTTTTTCGTTTTTTTCCAAGTAAGTTATATGTTCTGGCTGTCCCACGTGTTTTAAATGATAGCTGGATTTGAGTTGAGATTCAGTTTCTGAATATATTGATGATTTTACAATAGTTCTTTCCATGATTATTGCATTCTCAATTATTCATCTTTATCGTACCATTGCTTCATCGTCATCGCATTATCGTGTCATCGCATTATCAACCCAACTATCGATGGTGCGATGATGCGATAGTGAACTGCATGGCCCTATCCGGATTCCATACTCATGAACATCATGAATTAAATTTGGTCATGATAAGATAGACAAAATATTCTCATATATATCGGTTTGTACGGAAACCTGTATACGAATTTTGTAATTACATAATGAAACATTGTGTTTCTCTTTAGTGCTGGACCCATTCAAAGACAAGACGTTCAGAACATCAGCGGATACAACTATGTTTTAGTTTTGACAATATTTAACACAGTTTTGATAGTGATAATGACCTTGTTTATGACTATAGTCGGAATAAGAAAGATAATGAAGTCTTTTACTGGGGTATCTTCTACTGGCACGTATAATTTACTAGAAGAAAGTGACGCAGCTGATCATCCAATGTCCATCCTTCCGTCTAGCTTTTCGTCTGTCCGTCTGTAAACTTTTCATATTTTCAACTTCTTTGCAGGAACCACTGGGCTAATTTGAACCAAATTTTCTACAAAGCATCCTTGGGTGAAGGGATATGTAAAACATAAAATGCAAAAAAAAAATGAGTCTTCTTTCCTAGAGAAGATAATCAAGAAACGACAAAAATTAAAATGGGTTATTTAAAATTTTTCATCTCAAGAACCACTGGACCAGAAAAGCTAAAACTTAGGTGAAAATATATCTGATGTAGTGTAGATTTTACATTGTTCAAATTATGACCCAAGGGAAAGGGTGGGGGCGCAATAGGACATTATGATTATTTATTTATTTATATATGAGGTCACCTGAGCTGAAAGCTCAAGTGCACTTTCCTAATCATATTTTGTCCTTAGTCAGTCAGTCAAGCTGTCCGTACGTCTAAAAACTTTTCACATTTTTTACTTCTCTTCCAAAATCACTGAGCCATTTTTGACCAAACTTTCCACTAAGCATTGTAATGTAATTTTAATTTATATATAGCTTTATTTGTACAGATAAACATGCATCATCTATTGGTTATTTTCAATTTAATCAAAATGCCGTTGATTTATAAATACGATTTCATAAAGTTCTTCCGACATTTTAGCATATTTTGTATAAAACTGCTTATTTTCAAGCAGTTTTTCTTCTAGAAAATATTGAGCGTAGAATAAAACAAACTTTACATTTTAAGAAAGATTTATCTATCAAATACTAGTTAGTGGCAGAAAATTCATGTATGTTCTTCACTGTGCTCTTTGTTTCTCATAAGAAAAACAATAAAAAATAGGGCACATTTTTGGATTTTTTCGTTAGATAGCAAAATAGCATTATTTCACGTCATTTACAGCCAATGAGTGTATATAAATGAGAAAAATATCTCTTCTACAAAACAAATATTTATCAAAGGTATTGGAATATGATTCTAAAATGATGATTTTAGGTGGCCCAATTTGGGTCTGATCATATATAGTTCTTTGTTCAAATAAAGGGTTGCGCTCCCATTGAGGGGAGATAATTCAGAAAAAGTGAAAATTTGCTGACATGTTATTAAAATCATCTTCTCAATGACCACTGTGTCACGAAAAATGTAAATTTGGTCATTTCAATTTGGTAGCGTCTTCACAAAGTGTAGATTCAAGTTTGTTTAATTCATTACTCACTGGGATGGGACAGAGCCAAAGTGAACGAGAAAAATTTTATATAGGAATATATATGGGTTTTTAGCTCACCTGAGCCGAAGGCTCAAGTTAGCTTTTCTGATCACATTTTGTCCGGCGTCCGTCTGTCTGTCTGTACTGTCTGTCCGTCTGTCCGTCTGTCCGTCTGTCTGTAAACTTTTCACATTTTCGACTTCTTCTCAAGAGCCGCTGGGCCAATTTCAATCAAACTTGGCACAAAGTATCCTTGGGTGAAGGGGATTCAAGATTGTTCAAATGAGGGGCCACGCCTTTTTCCAAGTGAGATAATTATGAATTAGAGAAAAATTAATGGCATTTTAAAAATATCTTCTTCTTAAGAACCACTGGGCCAGGAAAGATGGAACTCCTGTGGAATCATACTCAGGTAGTGTAGATTCAAGTTTGTTCAAATTATGACCCCCGGGGCTAGGGTGGGGCCAAAATGGCCGACCCAAGTTTTACATAGGAATATATAGGAAAAATCTTTAAAAATCTTCTCAAGAACCACTGGGCCAGGAAAGATGAAACTCATGTGGAATCATCCTCAGGTAGTGTAGATTCTAGTTTGTTCAAATCATGACCCCCGGGGCTAGGGTGGGGCCAAAATGGCCGACCCAAGTTTTACATACGAATATATAGGAAAAATCTTTAAAAATCTTCTTCTCAAGAACCACTGGGCCAGGAAAGATGAAACTCATGTGGAATCATCCTCAGGTAGTGTAGATTCATTTTTTTTCAAATCATGACCCCCGGAGCTAGGGTGGGGCCAAAATGGCCGACCCAAATTTTACATATGGATATATAGGGGAATCTTTTAAAATCTTCTTTTCAAGTACATCAAAGCTATGACTAGTGATATTTATATGGAATCATCCTCAGCTAGTGTAGATTCTAGTTTGCTCAAATGATGAATGCCTGAGGGGGGGGGGTTAAATTCAAGCCTGATGTGCTCAGGTGAGCGCTGTGGCCCCTGGGCCTCTTGTTTTTATCAAGAACTGCAAAGCCATGATTGGTCATATTTACATGTATATGAAAGCATCCCCGAGTTATGTAGATTCGTGTTTAATTATTCACTCATGACCCTCTGCAGTAGGGCAAGACCACAATATACAAGCAAAGTTTTACATAGGAATTCACATGTACAAGTACGACGGTTGTACCAAAAAGCCAAAGACAATATATATATATTTTTAAACATACAACCAATACTTACCAAATTTTGCAAAGACATAATTTGTTCAAAATTGTGAATTTTTTAATATATATCTTTCATATAAGTAATAATAGGACCATTTATATGAAGGCCACATAAGGCCTGTCGGCGCATGAACAAAATTCGGAATAATTTACGCATATACCTATTACATTTGCTTTTATTTCTTTAGTACTTTATAATACAATGAACTCTAATTGAAATCACTGAAACCAGAATCAAATCTCAATAATACTTCAAAATTTTATATAAATAGCATTAGAAACAGGCGATTGGTGTAATTATTTTCATAGTATCGTTGGATTTGAGTTTGATGAAAATGACGTCGTCAAACGCGTACCCGGCGCACGGAGATGTAATAAATCGTGTTGGATATAGTTTATATACATCAGAGACGGGAACAAATAGAACAGAAGTGACATTACACACTAGATTTTCATGAAGAAGTTATTTTTAAATGGCACGATATTCAATGAGAGTTTTTTTTTCTCTATATCGAAAATAGTTACGGCATGTAAGAAGTAGAATACTGTTTGTTAAACGCAGACAATTGGGAACAATCTGGACTGCGAAAGACGTCAAACAACGTGTATTCTCTGCTGTCAGCCCATGTAAGGCGATCTTTCTACTAAATTTCGATTAAAATTTGAATCTGCTAAAAAAAAAAAAACAAATGAAGATAAACGAACAGTAGTGAATTTAAAATACCGGATAGTCCCTTAGTCAAGAGTGGTCTATCACTTTAGAAAAAAAATTGAATGTTACATGTTATACACACGAGTGAAGCAGACAAAGAGATCATGACGTTATAAAAGAGGTAATTTACGCTTAATTTCGTGCGTGCGGCGGTGTACACTTTAGCTTACATTTTTTCTTTGCTTTTACACAATTTTCTTATTAGATATGATATCATCATGAATCCTGAAATGCATGATCATAAAATGTTACTTTTTGCTATGTAAAGGAAAGAAATTTTATTAAACAAAAAGAAACTATAAAACTGTTTTCCTTGTCTACGGCTTTTTGGATAACCCTCATACATGTATATAGGATTTAAAAAAAAATCTTTTTCTCAATAATAGTAATAAATTCCTTTGGAATTTATGGAATTTAATCTCGTGACCAACCCGTATTTATATCCCAATAGATGTTTTAAAATGATACCTTATTACATAAGTTACAGTACCGACCGGACACAACCTTACACCAGAGCGAACCCGGAGCGGACCCCGGGTCGCTTTCCGGGTTCGATTGGGGTCAGCTTCGGGTTCGCTTTCAGAAATTTTGGGACCGCTCCGGGTGCGCTTTGGGTGCGCTCCGGGTTCGCTCCGCGTTCGCTCGGGGTCAGCTCTGGGTCTGCTAGAGCGAACCCGGCGTTCGCTTCCTGGGACCGCTTTACGCACTGATGCGTGAAGCGGACCCCGCTTTAATCTCACCGCCAGTTAGCCCCGCCCCTTGTTTATTCCAATACAGTAATGGTATTATGGATCGATCATTGTTGTTTTTGCGATGATGCTGATATGTACACAGTACATGTAAACAGTGATATAATGGAGAACATTGATAAATTTTCTAAAATTCAACTTTACATTCGACGAAGATTTATATGTACATGAATAATTGATTTCATTGACTTTTCGATCCCGAGAAATTCAAACTAATTTAACGGCGGGTTATAAGGCATTTATTATTCTTAAGTTATAACGAGAAAACAAAAAAGAAGAGGAAGGAAAGAGTGTTGAATTGATTTTCAGTGTATCGAATGGTGTACAAGTGATATTGACGAAAGAAATCTAAACTAAATACCTTTAAAATTCATGCTTTATATAGTTTAAAAATACATCTGTTCGCATCTATAAATTACATGTAACCTTTTGCACATCTGATATATTTAGATTTCATTCATAGTAGTTACACATTAAAAGTTCGTAATAAATAATTACCGGACATTTTCTAAAAAAAAATTACACTGTATATAAGATTTTTTTCACGGTCAGAATTTTGGAGCGAGTATGATTTTATCAGAATAAAGAAAAAGGCAAATAATAATTGTTCTCCCGACCCGATAAGAATAATATAGGCCCCCTATTTCACACACACATTGTCTTTATAAAATTCTAATTATTTAATTGTTTTATTTATGATTTCTCAATTTACGTTTTACATTAAATTACTCAAAATTTACATCAAAATTATTGATCTTCTTAATCATGGTAATCTTCTTGATCTTCTTGGTCATGAAAAAAATGCGTGTATATGGAAATCTTCCTTCTGGATGCACAGATTGAAGTCATTCCGCCCTTATGGTATTAACAAACTGAATGACTTCACCAGAATGAACGTGAATTTAACGCAATTTCTGATGATACATAAAAAGATTATTCCTTCAATTTAGTGTAACTCTACAGTTAGTTTGCGTTACCAACTCTCGAACAACCCACATAACTACGTATTGCTTACGCCTTTATCAATAATTTTTTCCCAATAATTAGTTCAAAAACATTTCAATATTTATAATAGATCATAATTCATATGTTAAAATATCCCTTCTATATTAGATTTCTCTGATTATTCTTTGTCAAGTATAGTTACGCCATTTTGAGAGAATGAAACAATGTACGATTTACTAAATGTCGAGATTAATTAGCATAATTAATTCGTTCAATTATGGAAATCGCACTTCACCTTAGTTTACCCCGATAAACCAGACGTATTTCATATTTAATAGTGTATATTCATGTATAATTCTACGTGGAATTTTAAAACATTATTAAATAATTGCTTTAATAAAAAAGAAAATAAATATATAAAAATGCAACCCGGGGA